ATTTCCTACCTGGAGGGGAGACGGCATTGTACTTCATGCTTTAATAGAAATATAAAAGAATGTATTTTTTATGGCCGCCCGTGCCTCCTGTGTCTTTTTCCTGAATAACCTGTTGACAGAATTCCCTCCGGTCCTGTTTGGAAACGTGCTTTTATGCCGTTATGGGAAGGATAAGCTGTCACGGGCTCACACGGGCAGTTTATTTACTCGCGCCTGTCTTCAATTACGGGAGCGCACTGCTGCCACCAAAGGAAAAACCAATCACCTCGTAATTACGAGATAGCAATGATTACTTCATGTTACATTGTGCGGTGAGCGCATGTCGAAGCCACCGTGAGCTTGCCTTGCACTTGGTGGTGCTGGAGGGGATCCCCATTACCTGTAAAGCGCTTTGAGTGGAGAGTCCAAAAAAGCGCTATAGAAGCGCAGGAAATTATTAATTCATCATTATTATTATGACAAAGATGAGGACCAGTTTTGTGGGATTTGGAGATCAAAGCAATGATGGTTCCGTTATGAAGAGTTATACGTGCAATCAGTCCCACTGCTTCAAAAAGTCCGCACGTAGCGATATAGGTATTATACAGTGTGACACTATCGCGTGATCACATGAAGTACACGATTATTCCCATCTAGTAATTACGAGACAATTTTCTCGAAGTTACGAGATCAATTGGTCGTAATGACGAGAAGGGCGATTATTTGTTTTCCCCCTTGGTGGCAGCAATGCGCTTCCGTATTCAACAGTGTGTACGAACTGGATTTACGGTTCTTCTTCGGGCGGAGTCTGCTGCTAATGAGACAAACAGGCTGACATCCGTGGATGCATTGCGTGTTTTAGAAGGAGATCTTCTAGGCGCGTAGTGAAACTGCTCTCGCGGTGGATTGCGGCTTGGCCACTTGTGCACATTTGTGGTACAGTGAGGAGCTCAAAGGAATTAGGAAGTTATTTAAGGGGGGTTATCACACCTTTTGAGACTGGGGGACAATACAAGTGTGATAGAACACGACAACACCCAAGTTCACCCGTGTTCACAACGTACTGTCTTCTCGGTATGCACTGCTTCATTATATGTCA